CTGGCCGTGGGAGAAGCCTGGCTGGGGGTGCCTCTTGTACAGGGGTTTCCCCATTAGCCCCCCCCATGGCTGGCTGGCGATGAGAGAAAGAGCAGGCTTTCTCCGGTGGCCTCGGGTGAGGTGAGCTGTGAATTTCGTTGTATGTGTATATACTTACAATGACAATAAATTATTATTATTAAATAGTGGTCCTTTCCATAAGGCTTCTCCAAAGAAGCCTGACCTCGCTTGCGGAGGCAGGCCTGCCTCCTTGGACCAGGGCTCAGGATGTGGCCGGCTGGCTGGCCGTTCAAGCTGCCCTCTTGCTCAGACCTAGAGGAAAACAGCGCACAAGCAGAGCCGCATCGCACCCACACCCGGGCAGGAATGCATGCTTACAAACTTTGCAAAGCAACCTGCCCGTGTAATTGAGCCAAGCTAAAGTTTTGGACTTGAAGATGATGGGCTCGCATCTAGTCGATTCCCTGACTGATGCTGCGTTGTTACTGGAAAGGACAGATACAGTCAAGGTGGCAAACAGAGGCTTCTGGATCACATTTCCCATCCTCCTGCCACATCGGTTGTGCCGGCCGGTGCAGGATGGTGGGAGTTAAAGTCCAACCACATCTGGAAGGCCGCATGTTCTCTCACTTCCTCCAGCTGTGGTTCGGCGTTGCTGACCTTTGAGCCATGATGGCTGGGCAGTCCTTTGAAGACCCACTTGCCAAGCCGGGGCTGAGCTGAGCTGAGAGGGTCTGGGAGAAACTTCCTCTGAACGTTCTGACAAACTGGGAATGTAGGTGCCACACAGCTCAGAACGGTGGTGGTATTTCAGGGTGATGCAGCAGTTGCAAAAGGGTACAGCGCACGCCGGCCTCTCACGGCGTGCTCCTCTTGAGGCTCCAGTGGCGTCACCGTTTAACCCTGTCTTCCTCCCTTTCCTCACAGATGGACCCATCGCCTCCAACCTACATGATTGCCAACTTAGCCCCTTTGCATTCGGAGCAGCTCCTGCAGGGCCTGAACCTCCTCCGGCAGCACCATGAACTCTGTGACATTGTCCTCCGCGTGGGGGATGTCAAAATCCACGCCCACAAGGTGGTGCTGGCAAGCATCAGCCCCTACTTCAAAGCCATGTTCAGCGGCAACCTGTCCGAGAAGGAGAACTCGGAGGTGGAGTTCCAGTGCATTGCAGAGGCCGCCCTGCAGGCCATCGTGGAGTACGCCTACACGGGGACGGTCTTCATCTCTCAGGACACCGTGGAGTCGCTCCTGCCTGCCGCCAACCTCTTGCAGATCAAGCTGGTGCTGAAGGAGTGTTGCACCTTCTTGGAAAGCCAGCTGGACCCGGGGAACTGCATCGGGATCTCCCGCTTCGCAGAGACCTACGGCTGCCACGATCTCTGCTTGGCGGCCAACAAATACATCTGCCAGAACTTTGAGGAGGTTTGCCAGACGGAAGAGTTTTTCGAACTGACTCATTCTGAGCTGGACGAAATTGTCTCCAACGACTGCTTGAACGTCGTCACCGAGGAGATGGTCTTCTACGCTCTGGAGTCTTGGATCAAGTACGAGGCGCAAGAGCGGCAGAAGTACCTGGCCCAGCTCCTGCACTGTGTGCGGCTTCCTCTGCTGAGCGTCAAGTTCCTCACCCGGCTCTACGAAGCCAATCATCTCATCCGCGATGACCACACCTGTAAGCACCTGCTGAACGAAGCCCTGAAGTACCATTTCATGCCTGAGCACAGACTTTCTTATCAGACGGTTCTGACGACGCGCCCTCGCTGCCCGCCTAAGGTTCTCTGCGCTGTGGGAGGGAAAGCCGGACTCTTTGCTTGCTTGGAAAGGTGAGGAACTATAAGAACTGGAAGAACATTCTTCTTACAACTGGATGTGAGCAATTACCCCTTGCTGGGGGGGGCAGTGCTCCCTTTTTCCCAAGTCAGAGGGCAATCATTTGTGTGTCTTGGCAGGGGGGCATTAACAAAGCAATCGTTTCATTGGTGGTTGGCAGGGGCACATTCTCTCCCTAGGTCACTGTAGGCTACTAAAGTTGCAAAGCCGGTCTGGAAACATCGCAGGAAGACTACTGGTTGCTATTGCTTTGTAATCGGCAAAAGCCTTCTCAAATTGCAAAGTTCTGAGTTCTGGTGCTTGCATTCACTAGCAGTTGCCCTGCAAGGGAGGGCTATTCATGTAAATGTGTAACAGAGAGGAAGGGCAGAGTACCCAGCACAGCTTTTGGCCTTTAGGTAACGTTCTTTACATTCATCATTTAAGTTCTACCTGTTTCAAGAAATAAATGTGTTTTATATGCTGAGAAGTAGTGAAATAATTCACAATGAGATAGCAGTGCAGGTGAGATCTGAGGTGAAGTGAAAAACACTAGTTTTCCTACTAAAACCTGTGGATGATTTGTTTGGCTTTAAGGGGGGGAAAAGGAAGTGGACTTGGCAAAGCGACTTCTTTGTTGACCCTTAGCATTGTCAGTACAACAGTCAAGGAACATGATGGGGTTGAATGCCCTGCCCATTTTTCCTCTCCTGCAGGCACAGGGGCTTGATTAAGGGGGGAAAAAGGAAGTGGACTTGGCAAAGCGACTTGACCCTTGGCATTGTCAGTACAATGGTCAAGGAACATGATGGGGTTGAATTCCCTGCCCTTTTTTCCTCTCCTGCAGGCACAGGGGCTTGTAGTGGTGGGGAAAGTCCTCGTAGTACCAGCGACCACCTGGTATCTCACCCCACCCAATGTTTTCTTGCCTTGCTTTCTTGCAGCATGCTGCCCTTTTCTCATGACTTAGGTCATCACCTGCCAGATATGCTTTGATTGTATTCCTGCATTGAGCAGGAGGTTGGACTTGATGACCTTGAAGGTCCGTTCCAAGTTCACGATTCTATGCTTCTGTGACTGGTACTCAGCACCATGCAGTGCTTGTCAACTTGTGTGCTGTGAAATGGAGGGATGCGAAACATTTGGTGCAGCGACGTGAGTTTTTAGGGGGAGACACTGTATTAGAAACTATCCCATTGCTCAAAACCATATGATGACCTGATTTAGCACCACAGCCTCTCAATTTTTCACCCAAAAACCTTGCGGGAACCATTTGCCCTTTAAATAGAACACATGCAGCCTGGCTAGCCGGAAATAGGAAGTGACAGGCGAGTTACTTCCAGTTTCCAGCGACATGCCCACCCCATGAGCGCAACACGCCCACCGTGCATGTGTGTGTGTGGGGGTGGAGATCTGTCTCTGAGGCCCAGTCTTGTCGTTTGTTTGTTTTGAAGAATTGAATTTGATCATGATGGGGGGGAGCACATGACTATTGTAGTGAAAGTAATTCAACACTTTGCACAGAAACGACTTATTAGAATACTTGTCTTAAAAGTTTTTCAAAAGAAAAGGCACTCCTCATTCCTTGCTTTGTTTGCAAACAACTCAATGCTTATGATGTTACATCTGCCAATTCCGTTCCTTCCTTCCTTCAGTGGCCTCAATATGTCTTGCTTTGTTTGCAAATAACTCAATGCTTATGATATTACATCTGGCAATTTTGTTCCTTCCTTCCTTCCTTCAGTGGCCTCAATATGACAAACTCAAATGCTTGTCCCTCCCTTCATCCACTTATTGATTCCAGTTAATGTTATGAAATGTTGGTTGAAATCCAATTTTTCAGCATAGTAGGTTGCACACAAGGAAGGCCAACTAAATACATGTAATTTATAGAGGAGCCAATTCACCAAATCCCCATAGATTAAATGAGCCTACACTACTTGTGGCTTTACTACACCAAGTAACAGGATTTGAGCCAGTGATTTTTTCCCATGAAAAATTAAGCATTGGAAAGTTTTCTGGACATTTTTTAATTTTGAAAAGTGCTCTTCTATCCCAAATCACTGGTTCAGGTCCTGTTCGCCCACATGTGCCAGACTTACTAAAACGAAAAACAAAAGCTTACACGACAAAAGCTGTGATCCCAATGAGAGTGGAGGTTTATTTCGGTGTATTGTTGTCAGGGTTGGAATCAAGGTGAGGGAGGATTGGAAATCAGGACCTGCTTCTTACGTTTTCACATTCCAAAGAGACTGAGACCGAGCGAGCACTTCTCTGGAATTTTTAGTGACCCCAGGCATCTGGCTCAACACTTCCCCCACCCCTATTTCTTTTTTTGTTTTCCTATGTATTTAGACAAAGCAGCCTATTTTGGTGTACTTTAAACCCAGCCCTGTTCAGTTTAATGAGGCTTATTCCCAAGAGGTCATTTAGCTTGCAGCTCTGCACATATGAACTCAGCAGTGACTCTCTCAGGTAAATGAGTCTTACTCACTAGAGGTAATATGAGGGCTTCAGCTTCACCACAGGAATAAAGTCTTCCTTCTGAGCATGCTGGCAGGCAGGATCACTTGCAGGACACATTAGACAGAAGCATTCTCTTCTTGGGTTTAGAAAACATGAGTCTCTTCATTTTCCTTTATGATTGAGTTAGAAGTGGTTAACTGATGGAAAGATGGAGTCTGCTTCTAGGATTTTTCCTTGCTTGGCGTCTCTTTGTGAGTGATAGTGAGCACAAGAGGGAATCCTGTAAACCATCTTGACTGCTGACATTGGTGTTACGAAGATGCAGGCCAACCATTGCTATGGAAAGCTTGGCTTCTTTTTTCCTGCCTTCAAGTTAAGCATGATACGGCAAGGCAGTGTTGGTCATTTCATGGGTAGAGAAGCAATATCCCATATTCATAAACCATAGGTTTTTAGAAGCATCGAATCCTCTGCTAAAACGAGCAAACGACTCTTAAATCTGCCAGAGTTCACTCTGTTTTGCTGAGGATAGTGACTCTCGTTTGGTTCCACCTCTGTAGCAGAATGTGTCTTTCTGCAAGCACTAGTGTTCCCCCCCCCCCCCCCGTGTCTGGTCTCAGATAACACTAGGCAAACACCAGCACACTTATTTCAATTACACATTGAACTAAACCAGCACAGTTATTTTAACAGTTTGCTGTGACTCTTTTCTTGCCCCCTTTTATGGTTGGCATCTTGTTTGTTCACTGTTTAAAAGACATTTTAAACATCAGCTGACTCTGCCTGTGGAAGAATCTACTTTGAGCTAGGAGATTTATGATGCAAGTGTTTTGAATTCAACATTTCTCACATTGGTCGGTTTCAGCTTTGTCCTGTGAACGGTTTTCCTTCCATTTCTCCTTCTCTAGTGTGGAAATGTACTTTCCTCAAAATGACGCCTGGATAGGACTGGCACCTCTAAGTGTCCCTCGCTATGAATTTGGAATCTGCGTCCTGAACCAGAAGGTCTACGTGATCGGAGGAATAACTCCCATGTGTCAGGGCATTGACTGTCGGAAACATGAAAGCTCCGTGGAATGCTGGGATCCCGATACAAACACCTGGACGACCCTTGAAAGTATGAATGACAGCCGGAGCACCCTCGGAGTCGTGGTTCTCTCCCGAGAAATCTATGCCCTGGGCGGGTACGATGGGCAGTCGTACCTCCAGTCAGTGGAAAAGTACATTCCGAAGGTGAAAGAGTGGCAGCCGGTGGCACCCATGAGTAAAACCCGGAGCTGCTTTGCAGCCGCCGTTCTGGATGGCATGATCTACGCCATTGGCGGCTATGGGCCTGCCCACATGAACAGGTAAGGAGAGAAGGCAGAAGGTTCTTCTTTTAGGATTGACCTTGTTTCTGTCCTGCCCTCCTCCTAGAAGGAGACCCAGCACCAGCCTGCTCAGAAACAGGCTCTGTTACTCACGTGCAAGAGGTTTCCGACAAACAACCTGCTGTTCCTTTCCGGGGGCTTTGCTAATGCTTGGGCCGGAGAATTCATCCAAGCCCTTTCGTCCTGCCTTTAGCTAAAGGCGCTAGTAGGGTTTGACATGTTTTCCTTCACTCAAGGTGTGCTTGGGAAGGTGTGTCTGAGCTCTTGGGGTGAACCTGCGAGGCTTTCTAAGTCGACCCGCTTTATCTGGAGATGGTCAGAATAGTCTCTGCCCTCACCCTTCTCCCCACAAGGCGCGTGAGAAGAACTTTGGAGAGAGGACGAGAGAGTCCTTTCCCCTCATGCTCTTCTGCCTCCAGAGGTCCAGCAGAAGCATGCAGAGGAACCCACTTCCCCTTTCCCTCAGATCCCTACAGGGCCTGTGAGAACTGAGAGGGAATATTTGCACAGCGGCTGTGTGGCGTGGAAATGTTTGCTACTGGAAACCTGCTGGGTGGGCTCTCCTCTCCCCCCCCCCCGGGATACGTAGATGGGCAAGACCCAAGGCATCTGGCCCGCAGGGGTGGGAACCTAAGACACAGTGGGATCCCCGGTTTCTCATAGCCCACGTTGAACCTTGCTTGAGAGCCATTCTTCTCACAGGGACGACACAACCCAGATGTCGCAAGCACTGCATTCCGGAGCTGTGGCCCTCATCTCTTGAAAGGGGGATCTTCTGTCAAGGCTGGGTTCAACTCAGACGTGTCCCTCTTTTCCTTCTCAGTGGCAGCCGCCTCGATAAGCCAGTTCGCCTGCAGCCTTTACTTCTTTTTGTGTCAGAGGTGCCTTACAGGATAGCCCTTCTTAGGATGTTGTGTGTGTGTGTGTGTGTGTATCTGTGCTTTATTTATTTTAAGTCATCTTTTCCTTTTCATCTAGAGGCTTTGTGTGTGTGTGTGGGGGGGTCAACTCAAGGCCAATGATTCCTGCACTACCCCTTAAAGGTGTGCTGTCGCTTCCTTGAAAAGGGACTTCCAAACGGCAGGGAAGTCCCTCCTGGATGCGTTTGAAACAGCCTCTTGAGGTACTCCTCTTTTTTTCTTTCTTTTTTACAAATGGCTTTCTTTGACCTCTGCTGTTTGTCTGCCTCTGCAGCGTGGAGCGTTACGATCCGAGCAAGGACTCCTGGGAGGCAGTAGCTCCAATGTCTGAAAAAAGGACAAATTTTGGCGTCGGGGTCATGCTGGGCTTCATCTTCGTGGTCGGGGGGCACAACGGCGTTTCCCACTTGTCCAGCATTGAGCGATACGACCCGCACCAAAACCAGTGGACTGTGTGCCGGCCGATGAAGGAGCCCAGAACAGGTAGGAAGCATTCTGAAAGTTACTTTCTGCTAGTTACATGTTGCTTGCTTATTTCACCAAGGTTTTAAGGGATTGACCTTTTTTAAGGCCTCATGCCGCAGGAGAAGGCTTACGAGAGGTGCATCTATCAGAATTGGCCCACTGTCTCGGCATTCTATTCAGATTCTGGGTTTATTTTATTTATTTTTTTATTTAACTGATACGCCACCCACTCTACCCAAAGTTCTCTGGGCAGCTTACAACAATTAAAACACAAAAAAATAGATAAAACGGTTAAAATACAATTAAAATATATAGTCTAAAAATTGCCATCAGGACCCACAGCTGATGTTTTTTCAATTAAAAGCCTTCTGGAACAGGAAGGTTTTGACCTGGCACTAAAATGTCATCAGCGTCGGCGCCAGAAAAATTTCAGTCAGGAGAGCATTCCATAGTCTGGGGGCAGCTGCCAAAAAGGCCCTTTGTCTGCAAGCCGGCTCTCTTACCTCCTTGAGGGACGGCTCTTTCAAAAGGGGCCCCTGACTAGATCTTAACTGCCAGGTAGGTTCTTATGGAAGGAGGTGGTCCTTCAGGTATCCGGAGCACAACCCGTTTAGGGCTTTATAGGTCAAAACAAGCACTTTGAATTGGGCCCAGGCAGCAACTGGTAGCCAATGTAATTTGAACAGAATCGGCTTGATGTGTTCCCTAGTGGCCCCACTACTCACCAGCAGCGCAGCTCGATTCTGGACCAGTTGCAGTTGCCGGACCGTCTTTCTCTTGTTCTCTCACTTATCTTTTCCCTGCCTTGTGGTTTTATTAAAAGCATTGATAGCCTCCTGTTCAGCGTGTCTTTGCTCTCTGTTTCTCCTCCTGTCCCTACTCCAACAGGCGTTGGTGCTGCCGTTATTGACACCTACCTTTATGTTGTGGGCGGACACTCAGGATCCTCTTACCTGAACACTGTGCAGAAATACGACCCCATCTCAGATACCTGGATGGACACCGCTGGGATGATGTACTGTCGGTGCAATTTTGGCTTGACTGCCCTTTGAAGAAGGCCCCCTGAGGACTCAAGGGGTACAGTCCGTGCCCAGCCTGTGGAGACCAGAAGCTGCCTTTCTTCCGCCGGGAGAAAGAAACGATGGCTTTGTTGAAAGTCAGGCAGGAGAGCCCAGCCGAGCCTTGTTCCTGGCTGTTGATGGTCGGAGAGAAGGCACCAGGAGAAAGGGAGCCCGGCTGTTTGTTTCTCACACGGATCCGTCCCTGACGTGGAATGCTGGGTCCTCCGCAGAAGCAGCACTAGAGTGTGGCCTGAGGCCGGCGTAGATCCTCCCCAACTCAGTAGTTAGACCGCTTCCATCTCTTTCTCCTCTGCCTGATGTAGGTATCCTTGCTAGGGACACGGGTCCCTGGAGCATGCCGCACAAAGAGACTTTCATGGTAGCTGTCCGGCTCTGTCTTTGCATTGAGAAAGCACCGTGGCTTCACAGTTTTTTACGAACCGTTAACTAAAGGGCTGCCTTTCCCTCTCCTTGTCCCCATTACTCAAGGTTTGTAAATAATCGACACCATCGTCTGCTTGCCTGTAATTGCCACCCACTCACTCTTACCCTGGTTTTCGGCTACTGGCTGGTGGGGGTTTGAGCATTAGAAGAACAGGGGTCAATATTTCAAGTTGGCCGGCTTAATGCCTTTTCAGCCCTCTTTTGTTTGGGCTATCCTGCATGTGTGAAATGTGACTCTTTCACCGGAGTCCTTATCTCAGGGGGAAGATCTGTAGCTTGAAACCCAGAGAGAGAGAAAGAGAGAGAGAGAGAGAGAGAATGTTAAGTCAGCAAATGTTCCCATGCCGCTTGGGTTTTCTAAAAGGATACGTCAGGAGTTTTCCAGCAGTCCTGTAAATAGTTCACAAAGATTGCAAGTGCCCCTCTGTGTCAACTAGCCAATACGTACAGGATGGTAAAAAAACATATGGCCAAGTTTTGAGAGCATCCTGGCTGTCGTGTGGTGCCAAAAGATAAGGTTTCTAATAGAAACAGAGACCTGCCCTTCTCCGTGCACTGAGTCGCCTATCAATTAGGAGAGGCTTCTGTCCAAGGGACTATCTGTGAGAGCGCAGCACACAGATGTTTGGATGAAGCCATGGCCAGCCCACCCTTGTTTGGTGGCCCACACCTTAGACAGTGAATGCACCCTATCAAAAAAGCGGTAGGTGCTTGCAACCCTCTTCCTTTTCCTGCCTCTGTCTGCCAGTGAAAAACCTCTGAAATGCTAACAGTTTTGGTTAGATTAGTTCATTTAGGGAAATGGAATTTCTGCAGATCTTTAATGGGCATGGAAGAGAGATCATTTTTTCTGCCTTGGACAGGTCTTGTCTTTTAAACAGGAATGTAATAGGTAGCACGCACAGACAGACAGACAGACAGACAGACAGACACACACGCACACGCACACACACACACACAATATGTACGTCTCTCACAATGGGCTTGGCTGGAGGGAGCTGATGAAGGCTGTAATTGGTATGTAGCTGATGGCCGGACAGCCTTCACCTTTACTGAATCAAACTGAAATCTAAAAGCCCTATCTTCCAGGTATCCTGAAACTTCGTGAGAAGTTCTGAGGGAGTAAAGCAGACAGGTATATTTTGAATCTTGTTTCACCTGAAAGATGACTAAAACTAGAAATGTGCAAATTTGCTGGCATGTTTTGATCACAGTTCCTAGCATTCTAGTAGTCTTTTTCCACAAAACCACGAATCTTTACACCTCCGATGGAAACTACATAACCCACCAGTTTGTCTGTTTGGTTCTTCTGCTTTGTACCAGGAGCTTTGCTTTAATTTACTGTGGTGTTCCCCTTTCCCCCCCTCTTTTTTTATTTTATTTTTTACAGATTTTCCCCTTCTGTTCTCCATTTACCATGTTCCTCCTCTCTGCTCCCGTTTTCCATATTGATGAACAGGCAATAATATCATTAGAGTGCAGAGTTTGGTTTTGGTTGGCTTGTTCTAACCTTTTTTTTCTTTCCGTGAACCTAAAAGGTGGGACGATGGGCGGACTTGCTTGTTCCATATTCCTGGCACGCGGAAACGCTGCCAAGGCTCCCTCTTCTTCCAGCGGTCAAATGCTCAGACTAAAACTCCTCGAGAGGTTTGTTTGCAGGTTCATGTGGATGGGCGACAGGTCTCCGGAATTCCCCACAAATCCACACACCTCTGCTTCAAGCTCAGAGCCTACATATAGAAAAACAAAGCTGCAGCTTGAATATCCATCCTAGGAAGTCCTGAAACCCCTCCTCCCCAGATACTGCCAGAGTCCAGGAGAATTTTTGAGCAGCTACCCGATGTATCGCCTTCTCTCTCTCTCTCTCTCTCTCCCCCGAGGTGTTTCTGAGGGACTTCTCGGTTCTTACTGCGCAGCAATAATAACCTGATGCAACCTTTGCAGTTACCTTTTTTTTACACATGACGGTGCATTTATGGCATTCTCATCCTGTTCATTCCACCAAGGCTGTCTGGGAACATTCTCACAGTTGTGAAGAACACTAGAAGCTACAATGACCGCAGGGCACCAAAGCCGATGCCTTGTTTGGGCCGCTTCATTTCAGCCAGAGAAGAAGATGCTTGATGAAACCGTTAGACATGCTGGTCTCGGTCCAAGATGAGTTTGAGGAGGAGTGGACTGAAGACACAAAGGCTTTCCGTAGAGTTCTGGGATGGAAGGGGGCACCTCTAGGCGCAGAATAAAGGCTGTGAGACAGAACTGAATTTTAAATCGTGCAGAAGGAAAAATGGCCATGAAGGAGCTGCCACCTCTGCTGGCGGCAAAGAACCCACCTGACTCTGGCGTGGCCTGCCGTGTCCTCGTGGTCCTTACGGAGCTTTAACTGCCGGAGGTGGGTCGTGAAACTTCTCAGAGCCAAGGACGTTTCTGGAAAGAACAACTCAGTCCTGGCCGTGGCAGAATGCAGTGTTCCTGAATGGACCTGCTGGTTCACCACGATCTATCCATGTCTGGTCCACCCAGCGGGGAACCGCGAGCCCCCTCTGCCCTTCCCAGGGTGGCCAGGTGTGAAGATGACAGCCTCTTGCAGTCTGATGACACCCAGAGAGCAGTGCTCGGCCCGTCTCGGCAGAGGAAGGCTCGGTTCATCTTCAAGCAGCATCATTTCCCCCACTCTGTTACTCTAGGGCCCATGGGCTGCCCCGTGAGTCAGTCTTGTCAGTCAGCTGAGCTAACAAAACAGTTGAATTGATCCAAGCCCCCCCCCCGCTGCGTGTTTGCGGGCAGGCTTGTTTTGCCTTAAGGATACGGACTAACTGTGTCCAAGTAATAATAATAACAGTAATAAGAATAAAATTTTAGAAGTTAATGAAGAGGCTAGGAAACTGTTTAGTTACTCCAGGCTGAGTTAAGACTGAACTCACTCAGGCAGTAGTCAAAGAGAGGGCATTTCCCGGACGATCCTTGTGCCTGTTTCCTTGGGGGTTCGGGGTGGGTGGCGGCTTCGTTTTGCTCTTTCCCTGAAATGCCCAAGCAGGAAAGTTGGACAGGCTGGCCCTAACACTTGAAAGCTGCAATAAGTGTACTCTAGTTGAACAACATCCGTGTCTTCTCATGATGGCCTTTACGTGCATTTCCATCCAGTTCTACTGAAACATTTGGGGCAATGTTTTAATGCTCAAGGAGAAGCACTTTACATCATACTGTCTGCTCGTGTTTCCTTTGATTTTGGGAAAATAAGGATTAGAGACACTGCTTTGGGTGCACGTTAGGGACATATGTATGGCCAGGGATGTGCATGCGTGCACGCATGTCCATTATCTGTGTGTACATCATTACTATCTGTTTGGGGAATCGCCTCTGCATCACAAAAAGTTGTTTCTCATGCCAGCCTCTCTCATTTGGTGGGAAGTGTTCTTCAGTCTGTCCTGAATATCGTAGCCTTCCGTCCATCCATCAATGGCCAGCCAAGAAACAGAAGGCGGGGTGAGTGTGAGGGGTCTGGCCTAGGCATGCTGTCGAGAGGGTGCCCGAAAGACAGTTTTTTGAGGAGCTCCGCTGGCAGGCTCCCACCGTGGGGCGTTGCAGCCGATGGCCCTGGTCTCCCGGACTTGTCCTGTGTCCTCATTCCTGCCCTCCAGAGAACCCTCTGCCTTCATGGCTGCTTTGCAATGCCTTCCCTTTGCGTGGGAACTCCCTCCCTCCCTCCCTCTCCGCTTGCCTTAAGTCCCTCTTGAATTCATCACAGAACCAGGTGGGGAGTCCTCTTTTTTGCCTTACCATATGCTGCATTCTCGCCTCCCTGGCCCAGGGCAATCGTAGGTTTCTGCAGGATTCCGACACCCACCCCCCCCAATTATCTGCCACAGGGTTTTCTGGCCTGCACTGAGAAGGGGTTTTCTCTTGGGTTTCTGCCAGGTGACCAGTCTGGCTTGAGGGATGTTGGCAGTTCTGCCTTCATGCCTCCCAGCAGGGCTTCATTCGTCTCTCTAGCCACACACTC